AAAGAGCCTCTGAGGAGAAACCCTGCGTGAAATGCGGGAGGGAGCCACGAGCAGAGTGGGTAGCCGGTGCAAAGCCAGGCAGCGTGGGGAGCATCGTGGCCTGTTCCGGGAACAGCAGGGAGGCCAGGCAATCAGAGGAGAGAATGCCAAGGAATGAAGTCAGAGGGAAGCAGGCGCCAGATCACCTAAGGCCTTGTAGGTCACGGTTGAGAGTTTGGGTTTTGTTCTCAGTGTGATGGGAAGTCACTCAGGGTTTTGGATGGTGGGGTTACAGGAATCCAAGGACAGCATGGGAGTACAAAGCAACTGGCTTAGCTTAGAGGTATTGATCATATGTTGGGGCTGGAGAGAAGGTTGGGAGGACATACGGGTATGCCTTTGACCTTGTCGAGTGTCCCTACCTAACCAAGAGTTGGGAGCCTGACAACTAGAGAATAAGGAAACGACCTTAAGATGTGCATGCTGGGCTGCTGCCTAGGCCCCTCCCTGTCTTAAGGGGCTTGCTTCTAACTACTGGCCTAAAAGTACAAGTTTGCAAGTCTAATTCACAGGCCCCAGCAACACTAAAGATTTCTTTGCATCATGAATCTTCAGGGTCTTTTGAGAAGGGTCAAAGCCATAAATGTGAATGTTTTGAATGCCAATCATCAAATGTCTTCCTTCTCAAAGCAAGCCTTCTGCTCCCCCAAAGGTTTGAGGTTGTGTGAAGGGGATGATAAAGACACCAGGTAAACTTGACACTTCTACCTGGCATGCCAGTTTCCCTTAAAGACAGGAAGGCCAAGACTTCCTATCTTTAATTAGCTGGCAAGTGACTGAAGACATTTCAGTATGAGACAAACACAGATATTGTTAGATAATGACTTAAGGTATTATTTTGATGAGACAAACAGATTTTATATATGGTAGTAGAATATAAAATCTGCATGGCTTTAAGCTACAGTAGGGACATCCAAGAAATTCTGGGATTACATCAGTAGCTTTAGACTACGCCATGCTACCCACTGTTGCATGAGCAGTCGGCATCAGAGTGAGAATTCCGAGGGGAAATCTAGAGTTTAGGAGAAAGAGAAATTACTAGGGCTGGTTAGTTGAAATGGAGTGACCAAAAATATATACAGGTCACTAAACCTATAGAGAAACATTCAAAATCAGGAGAAAAATGTAGACTATTTATTCCTCCCTATCATATGAACAAAGAACACAGATGGTATTTGACCAAAAGGAGGCTAATCCAACTGAGGCTACACAGTACATGGCCCATACCTAGGTCCCATACCCATACCCAGAATGTGCATTCTAATGACATGAGAATGAGAAAAACCCCATGCAAATAATGAGGAAATAGACACAGAGCCACATGTGGTCTAGCTAGCTTATCTTAGTGCCAGAGGTCATGGGACAGTTGGGAAGACTGTGCTTTAGGTGAGGGGGTTGGCCCTATGGAAAAAGAGCTAGCACCAGACTGCATACCTTAGAGCAGTGGTTCTCAACCTTTCTCATGCCGCGACCCTTTAATACAGTTCCTCATGTTGTGGGGACCCCCAACCATAAAATTATTTTCATTGCTACTTCATAACTGTAATTTTGCTACTGTTATGAATCGTCATGTAAATATCTGATATGCAGGATGTATTTTCATTGTTACAAATTGAACATAATGAAAACATAGCGATTAGTCACAAAAACAATATGTAATTATATATGTGTTTTCTGATGGTCTTAGGTGACCCCTGTGAAAGGGTCGTTTGACCCCCAAAGGGGTCACGACCCACAGGTTGAGAACCGCTGCCTTAGAGTGTCTGGGTTCTGCCTGCTCTGTCTCCCATTGAGCTGTGTTGAGTGAATGTCTGCAATAAATTATGCTGTTGCATATCCACGTTGTCTCACCTGACTTGCAAGTTGCTGTCACTTGCTGAAAAGAACCTTAATTCAGAAAGGTAGAAGCTCACCTTGTTTTATTGCCTGGAAATGAAGTCATCTAGGCAAGTTACTACGGAGACTTTTCTCCCTGTCCTCATTTTTGCCCAAGAGATTGGGCCTGTCCTCAGAGAAGTGAGTGAAGAGTACTGTTCACTTCCCTCCTCTCTGGGGGGTGAAAAGTTGAGAAGTCCTGGGGGTGTACTGCATAGCAAAGTGGCTGTATTAAAGTCGTGAAATTCAGAGTGACATTTATCTTTTTCTCCTTTCCAAATTTACTCAATATGGGTAGGCTGCTTTTGTAAGTTTTTCATGAAGTTTTTAAGTCTGTTGGTTGATCAGCTATGTGTGCTCAGTACTGTGCAGGGCAGAGTGGAATGAGAAAGAGCAGGGGACCATATTTCTTATCTTGAGAGTTAATCTTGTTGAAGCAACAAAGGCAGAAAGTGAAGACGTTAAGAAGAATGTTTATCTAAAGATAAACTGCTTTCATTAAACTGCCTTGGCTGAGAGTCAGATGATGGGGATATTAAGTGAGCTACAGATCTTGATAACCTCTGCACAACGTGACGGATCTCAGTGGAAAGATCCTTGCATCCAACTCAGCCTGGGAACTACCAGCAGGCCCCAGTGCTGCGCTCCCAGCCCCTCCCCCGGCAAACTGGTTGCAGGGACCAAAGCCAGCTCAATCTTAGCAGATAGCTTCTGCATGCTTACAATTTCAGCAATGTTTCTATAAAACACAGCCTGTGGTTTACAAATGAAAATAAGGCAGACCCTGCAAAGGCTTGGTGATTTTTATTGCCTCATCTGTCAGCGAGAAGGCCCAGCATGAGCCTGGTGGCTTCTGTGTAAACAACAGAGGACTCACTTGAATGAGTTCATTTTTAAAGTTGGCTTTGAATAAAATGCCTCGCTTTTGAAGGAGAAATTTAGGGAAGATTCTATATTTACTTGTTTATTCATTCACTCATTTATTGAACAAATATTTATTGGATACCTAGAATGTATCAGGCATTGAGGAAGGTATCTTTCTATCTGGGGCTGAGTGATGGGCTTGATTGAATAGTTAACATTTCCTTGGCTGTTTTTGGTGCAGTGGAGGCAAGGTTTTGAGACGCAGCCCACCAGGAAGCTTACCTCAGAGTCTTTCTAACAAATCTTTAGGTTCAGGAAGACCCCACCAGACCTGTTTCTCCCACAACACAATGCTCATTAAACAGAATGAAAGGCCTTCTAATGAGGCCCTGCTGTCTGACACGGGAGCATGAATGTCTTGATTGCACATTTGGGTCACCATCCTGCCAGCGTGCCTGCCAGATTTGATGTTCTTAATAGGAGTTAAGGTGAATTGGAGCATGAAGGGGGTCCATTTGAACAAATGCTCTAATCATTTACAAAACTCTCTTAGAGTTTTTGACATCATGCCCCCTTCTATTACAACTAAACTCCTAGAAATTCCTAGTGTAACCTGCAGTTATGTTTGAATTTGGGGGGAGGGGGTGTTCTTCCATTCCTGCCATTAAGAAGTCATAATCCAAGGTCAGATTCTGGGCCTGTATAATGTAACAATATCAGAAGCATGTCACAGGTCAGGCCAGTTC